GTGGAAGTGAGGCAGGGCCAGAGCAGTGCAGGGTCCTGCTGCCTCCCCTCTCTCACCTTTCCCTACTAGGGCCCTTTCAGAGGGACTGAGGTTTCCCCCAGGAGAAATCCACCCTGCAGATGGGCTCCCTGGCCAGCAGGGAGGCAGGTGAGGTGCCACTGCAGGTGCCAAACGCTCTCTATCTTCAGGGAGAGCTCAGAGTGGTCACCCCTGGAACTGGGGCAGCAGTGAGAGCCCTGCCCACAGCCTGCTTGGGTGCAGGGGTGGGTGACAGGGACCTTCCCATTGGGACCAGGCTGCTCCCAGGTGGGCTGTCGCTCTCTCTGCTCCTGACACCCAGTGCTTGCCACACAAGGAGCAGATGAAAACCCTTTAAAAGAATGTTCTGGATAGTTGTGTCCCTGCAGATGAATGCTGTATTTTTAAGGAATAAACATTTTTCTAATGGGCAAATCTCGGCCCTGCTGCTTCCCTTGCTTTGTCTAGTGTTTGTTGCCTGCCAGGGAAGAGGAGGGGCTCCATCCCAGGTCCTCTGCCATGCTCCATCCCAAGTCTTCCACCACCATGGGGCTTCACCTTCCTTGTGAGTGTTGAGAGCTCCCTGCTTCCTCTGCAGCCTCTCTGATGATGTCTTCCCCAGGCAGTGAATTTGGGATTCACGACCTCTTTCCTCCCTCAGAGCAGCTGGACTTTGCAGATTGTGGCAGTGTTGGGGTGGATGTGGCTCAGCAGCACCAGTTTATACTGGTGACAAGGACGGGCAGTGAGGTGATGGCAGAGAAAACAGAACTGGGCAGCCCCCCCCAGGGTGCAGCTGCCTCTAGAGGGGGTTCTGTGCCGTGGCTGCGTGTTTGGGAGGAAGCTACAAGTGGGGCTGTGGCCTCAAAATGGAGCTGCCTTGGGGAAGGGAGCTGGTGGTGACTGGTGGCTGCTGCATCGGGAGAGCCAGAGATCCCTCGGGCAGCAGGAAGGGCAGAGCGGGGGCCCAAACAAGCAGGAGGTGTCAAGGGTGAAAGGGAGCCTTCCCTCCTGGGGAATGATGCTCTGGAGATGCAGAGCTGGCACGTGTTGCCCAGAGAAGCTGGGGCTGCCCCATCCCTGGAAGTGTTCCAGACCAGGTTGGACGGGGCTTGGAGCAACCTGGGACAGTGGAAGGTGTCCCTGCCCATGGCAGGGGGTGGGATGAGATGAGCTTTAAGGTCCCTTCCAACCCAAACCACTCCACGATCATCACCACGTCATGGCTGTGGTCCCCAGGGGCTTGTGGGTGTGTTAGCAGGCAAGGAGGTGCCAATTTTGGGTGTTAACACATGTTTTGTGGGTCGCTGTAGGTTTGTGAGGCTCTCCAGGGTCTGTAACCCCCCAGGGACAACCTGTGAGCTGTAGATCCATCCTGTAAGGCCTGGGAGCTCCTCAGTGCCAGAGCTCTGCAGGGACCCTGCAGTCCCCCAGGCCCGTGGTGGGTGTGGAGGGCATCCCTGTGCCCTGCCTGTGCCAGGCTCCGCTGGAGACACGACCACTGGGAAGATGCCATGATGGAGCAGTGGGAAGGTCTGCACGGAGAGCTGAGGTGGAAACCATCTGCTTGGCCCACACTGACCAGTCCAGGCAGCACATTCCCAGTTCAGGTTCCACCTGCTGGAACAGCCAGCACTCCGGTGGGCGTCCTGGTGCCAATGGATGGGAAAGCTCAGGATGGAAGGGATTGAGCAATGGTCAGTCCCTGCCAAGGCACAGTGTCCGGCGTGGGAAGCGCGGCTCCTTCCATCTAACCCTGCCCTCTCTCCACACGCTGCTTCTGGCTCTCGTTTCTTTTGGCAGAAAATTCACATTCTCCTCCGCCCTCTCCTCCTCTCGGCTGTGGCGGCTCCTCTCCAGCACTTCCCCGCTTCTCCTCCTGCCTGTGGGCTGGGAAGGGACCCCAGAGCCACAGTGGAGACGCTGCTGTGAAAGGAAGGAAGAGCCAGGAGCTCCAAGAGCTGCTGGTCCTGCTGTGAGAGGACACAGGGAAGGTAAATGTGGGCCCTTTTTTCCAGCTGGGAAGAGAGAAACTTTGCTGCTGAAACTGGCAGAGCAGCCACAAATCCTTGGGAATGGAAGGGGTGGCTTGACTGAGCTTCTCCCCATGAGATTCCATAAGGAAGCCCTACTGCTCTTTTCGAGTTAGTAAGATTCCTGTTCAGGCATCCCCCTGTGAAGGAGGATTTCTGGGGCTCTGGCTTCGACCCTGCTGTGAGCAGCATTTCCCTTCCTGCGGGGAGCCCTGGTGCCTGCCCAGGCTGAGGGAGCCCTCCTGTCCCACAGGGCTCTGCAGGGATCACCCACCCCTGTCCCCAGCAGGGACACCCACAGAGCTGGGTGTCCTCTCCTGGAGGCTGCTCGGCCGGGCTGGGGCTGCTTTTCCCCATTTCACCTGTTCCCAGGGCATAAACCCGCAGCTGGGGCAAGAAGCAGGGGCAGGTGTTTGGGGTTAACTCCTGAAGGATGAATTTTGGGAGCACCAGCGGTGGGGGCACATCACTGGGCTCTTCTCATGGCGCCTGCGGTCGGGCAGATAAACAGCAGCTTGTCCGGACTTCTCCTTCCTGCCTTCTCCTTCCTGCCTTCCCTCTGCTGCTCCCTCTCCCAACCGGGATCCCTTCTCCTCCTCACCCCGCGGCAGCCGCATCCTCCGGGACTCCGCTCAGGCAGGGGCTGTGCCTGTGGGCTCTGCCGGAGCGCGGAGCTTCACCTGCACGAAGGTAATTCCCTTCGGGGGTGTCTCCCCGGGGATTTGTCCGTCCGTCCAGCTGCAGTGGAGCTGCTCTGTCCTGCCAGGAGCTCCCGACTGGCAGCGCTGCTGCTCCTCCTTCGCTCCAGATGTGGCAGAGGCGCAGGAGCTGTCCCTGGCACACGGAGATGCTCTCAGCTGTCACAGACAAGGTGTCACCTGTGCCCTCCCCAGCCGGGCTGTCCCAGGGGAGCAGGATGGGACTTAAAAAAACCCCTTATATTGCATTTATTTTACTCTGCCAGAGGGCAGGGTTAGATGAGATACTGGGAAGGAATTCTTCCCTGTGAGGGTGGTGAGGGCCTGGCACAGGCTGCCCAGAGAAGCTGTGGCTGCCCCTGGATCCCT